ATTTTTTTGTCGAATTTTAGTGTTGCATGAGAGATTGTCTCTCGTTTACAACGCATCGTTGTTGCAACCAACTCGCAGCCCTTTCTTCGCAAACGCGATGTCTTTGGTCTCCCTGGAACAAAGGATCATCGGCAGGGGTATGGGTGCACCACTACGGGAGAGCCATATGTTTCCCTAATTTTCCAAAATAGGATCTTGTTTCCCCAGTTTGTCCCCACCATGCACGTTTTCACGCTCCATTGCAATCCAAAGCGCGGATGCAATAACCCTAACCTCTCCGGACTGCCTGTGCATCGGAGTTATTCGTAGCGCAAGAGCGCGCGGATACCCCCCCCCCCCCGCAGATCCTTTCTTGCTTTGCGAGCTATGAGCACGCGTTGTAGCATATTTATAACTGCTTGCGTGATAGTGAGGACCAGTGACGGCCTCGCTCGTGTTGGTCCTGTTGAGTTAGGCAAGGATAGATCATACCAGGTTACAGCTTCTATTTGCGAGTAGTACACACTCACCAACAATCACTCCACACCAGTGTCCACGCACTCAATCAACAGCAATATTGTGTCTTCAGATCAAGTAAGCATTATGAGTATGCACGATAGCAAACGATTCGCCTCGTACTACCTACAAACGGCAAGAGTCATGAACACGTGTTACGAAAAATTGTGCAATATCGCGTCATTACTAAGCAATGAGAAACGAATACCACATCGTATGTTGGGCGGAGCTACCAGGCTTAACCAATCACAGAGAGCGGGATCGCCTTGCGATCTCCAGAACTGACTGATGCAACAGACCGCTGGTGCGGCGTCCAGCCGCTGTGGTATGTGTTTGCCCCCTAAACTTTTGACAGATACCTTTGATCAAAACTGAGGTGTTGTAATTACACACATCTTACCTAAACTCATGTGAAGGAAGGACCAATGACTGACTCACGAAGCACTAATCCCACCCCCACCCAGATGCCCATTTCCTGCACCAAGAGGTCCGTTTTCTGGTCCAGGGGCTCTGTTTAGTATAAAGAAGGCCCTTCATTGGCTCGAGATGCCGCCATTTGGAATAAGAAACCCCCGTTCTAAATAAGGAGGCTCTGTCCATATATAATATATATATATATATAATATATATATATAATATATATATATATATATATATATCAAGAGGCCGTTATTCTTAGCTTCCGGGGGGCAAAGCTCATGCGTCCGTGGGCCAGTGCGCTGCTCCGGATAAAAATCTCCTGTTTTGGAATGAACAGGCGTTATTCAAAATAATGGTACCCTGTTCTGGAGTATCCAGGTCCTTTGCAGGATTTGGAGGCACATTCGTGAATAGAAAGGATCCTGTTCCGGATTTATGAGGCTCCTCTATGCATTAAAAGGCTCTTTTATGGAACTGGGCGCTCTGTGTTTGGACAGGACGATCCTTTGCTGGGTCGGAAATGCCCTTGTATCAATTAAGA